AATGGGGATTAATGTCCACTCGACACAAACTAGGTCATTTCGGGACTAACACATGGTTCAATTTTATTTCAATCATTTGCTTGCGAGTAGTGGAAATGAAATGGGGTTTAACGTCCTACTGTTCTGCTCCTACCCTGGGCTAATGAAGACAGGCATACGCCATACAGTGTGCTATGGGGAAAATGTTGCCTGGACAGTGGCCCTAAGGCCTAATCTTACATCGAATTCCAACTGTCAAGGGATCTTTTACGTGCATGCCAATGTGTACACGGGACCTCGGTTTTTCATCCCATCGGAACAACTATACAGCTGTCCTTGTCAGGCCCTCCATCATGCATCACTGACAAGGAGGTATCACGCTGGAAAATCTGGATGAGCTTTCTCGGCAAATGCAGGGATCGAACACCCGACCTCCAGGCTAGCGAGCCACCATCTTACCCACTTAGCAACCATGACCCCCCCCCCCCCCCAAGTAATAAAGAAACCCTGAAAAACTACTGCAACATCCAATATCATGTAAGTTGAATCTCTGTAACATCCACCATGTTTATTTGGTGTGAACTAAATTGATGGGTGTGATCCGATTGAATTCAAGCCAGGATATTATCTAGCATTGGTATTTTGAGTTTTTCTTAATTAAATGTTAAATAATCAATCAGGGTACATATTAGCGAGGCTTAAGCCGTGAGAAATTTAATATTTTCTGAAAAATGCAGTTATTTTAATGAAAAAAACCTCAACAGATTGTGTTAAGACACCCTAAAAATCATTCAACTATATTATATTCTATTTTGGGGGGGAATCATCAATATTTTTGTCTCGATATATTCCATTAATTAATTTATAAACAGTGATATTTAATTATTATCAATCTCAGCTGTGCATTATCAACTGTCATATACCACAGGGGACTTGATATATATTAACACTCACTGGGTATTATTGCTTCGTATACCATGAGAGAATGTGTGGTATATATCGTATATCCCACGAGAGCACTTAATCTGTCATTTAATTAGGGTTTGTTAATTATTTTACAGTTAAGAAAACATGTCTGCTAATTACTAGAGTGGTCAGTTTTACTCGAGGGAGTTATAAAGATGAAGCGTAGCGTATATACTCTCTCGCTCTCCGTGCCGAGAACATTTATATATATGGTAGTGATTGGTGTGTTTATTTATACGAGGCACTAGAACCAGTTGATTGTATGTGACCAGGTTTAAGTTAAAACAGAGAGAATTATACACTCAACCCTATTCACAAATCGAGAAAGTTGAGTTTCAGACTGATTTCTACTGCTATTAAGGAAATCAGATTGCTCCAGCAGTTATGACTACCGGTTGGAATATAACATAACGTCACCAAAATTAATCAGTTGAAATTCTTGTAAATAAAAATGGTGGCAATGTTATTAATCAGTTATTTCCATTAATTATTTATTAATGACAATTTACAATTAAAAAAACAAAATATTTCAATTTGAACAATCAGCTATTATGTAATGCTAGGTTTCCACTGATCAGCTATTATGTAATGCTAGGTTTCCACTGTCATGATTTGTGCTACGATTGAAATCGTGGTGATCCTATCAGGTCTTATCATATATTGAGGTCATTTGTAGTAATCGTGTTGATCGTACCGAAACGTATCCCAACGTATCCGAACGTATCGTGGACTCAATAGGGACAATCCTATCATAATGTAACGTACGAGAGTCGGAAAATAGCATAAACATTGGAAAGAGTACATACACAATATAGAAATTGGAAAGAGTACATACACAATATAGAAATTGGAAAGAGTACATACACAATATAGAAATAAAAGTGTACATAGGTTAGTTAGTCAAATTATTGAAAACATATATGATATACAATATCTTAGTCCTGAAATGACTGTGTTTACATGTATGTTGTTGAATTGACCTACCCCCCTCACCCTCCCTCCCTCTCCCTCTCTCATTAACAAGGGAAATTATTCTACCCCCCCTCTCTTATTAACAAGGGAAATTATTCTACCCCCCCTCTCTTATTAACAAGGGAAATTATTCTACCCCCCCCCTCTTATTAAGAAGGGAAATTATTCTACCCCCCCCCCCTCTTATTAACAAGGGAAATTATTCTAACCCCCCGTCCCCTCCCCCTCTCTCATTAAGGAGGGAAATTATTCTAACCCCGACCCCTCCCCTCCCCCACTTTCATTAACAAGGGAAATTATTCTAACATGATTTGAACTATAAGACAATTTTCTCAACCGACATATTGTAGGCAGTTCAGTGCACGGAGTACACGTAACACAGCACTTAGAAACAAAAAAACTGAATAAGTTTTTAAAAATGCTTTTATTTCAATTTCATTTCATCAAATTATTTTCATGTTTGGGTTAATTGGTTTAAATAATTTATGGGTGACGGTTGAGAAGATAAGGTCATCCCCGTGCTCCAACCCTACCATATGTCTTGGATTAATTAGTGTAATTAATTAAACTTTGTATAATTAATTGGATCATTTTGATTAAATCATAGTTAGACTGGTGAACTCAGGTGGAAGTTTACATTCTTTAGGTTATATACGTAATAAAATAGTGAAGTACACCGAGTTTGTTTATTTCTTATAAAACATTAGAGGTGTTTTCAGTTTGTCATTTAAGGGTGCTAGCTCATCATTTAAGGGTGCTAGCTCATCATTTAAGGGTACTAGCTCATCATTTAAGGGTACTAGCTCATCATTTAAGGGTACTAGCCCATCATTTAAGGGCGTTCGCCCATCATTTAATTTCACTTGATAACGTCCACGACAAAATGTTAAAATCTGTGAAGTTTGGATTTAATTATTATTAAATTGTCAATCCCGACAAACTTTCTCGATCAACACCGATATTGAACCCAGAACCTCCTACCCAGTAGTTATCGAAGCCCTGCCTTTGTGGTTCGGCTTATATTTATGACATTTGAAATCGAACTGGGATCTCCAGGTTACTGAACCAACATCTTACTCACTGAGCCACTGCAATCAAATTAGCTGAGGTGTTTAATTCGGTGGGAACAGGGTCTAAAGGTTAGGGGTTGTAGATGAAATGAAATGAAATGAAATGGGGTTTAATGTCCTACTGTTCTGCTCCTAACCTGGGCTAATGAAGACGGGCATACGCCATACAGTGTGCTATGAGGGAAATTTTGCCCGGACAGCGGCACTACAACCTACTCTTATATCGAATTCCAACTGCCAAGGGATCTTTTACGTGCACGCCAATGTGTACACGGGACCTCGGTTTTTCGTCCCATCCGAACGACTAGACAGCTTTCCTTGTCAGCCCCTCCGTCCTGCATCACTGACAAGGGAGAACCACGCCGGAAAATCTGGATGAACTTTCTCGGCCAATGCAGGGATCGAACACCCGACCTCCAGGCTAGCGAGCTAGCGTCTTACCCACTTAGCCACGTGATCCCCGGGTTGTAGATGAATATCTTTCTATAAATTATCCATTGCATGTAATATGTAATATCGTAAATTGATTATATCACATTCAATTCTTATGGGAATTTAAGAAGATTTTTTATTCTAACGATAGTTTCGGTGTTATTTGACACTAGGACTAAAAGTGTTCGTCAATCTGACAGGCGAACAATATCCACCCCACATCCTATAATCAAAGTAGTCAGTCACTTGAAACGTTGTCAATTTTTTTGTCACCAGTGTGGATGTAATTGAATTAAGGCTGTCCCTCGAGAAAAAGACAAATATTACTCGGAACTCTTTTAGAGCTAAAGGTAAAGAAGGGTGACGTTGTGTCGATGATTGTATTTGTCAAGTCCGCACGTCGCTGACATTCGTAATTACAATCATCTCTCCTACCTTCGTCACACGGAGGTCGCAAACAAAGACAGAAGTCGTGGAAATGTTGCACGATATGCTCGTTCTCGACGATGTCCTGGTTTTATCATTTATATCATTATCTTGATTAAAAAAAATGGAACAATAAAATTCTTGTGGCTTTGTCCTTGATCGTCGGCCATTGATTACAGAACGGGGGATAATTACAGACCAATAAAACCATCTAGAAGAAATAATCACTTCTCTACCCAAAAGGTCTTCGGAGATTAATCAAGTTATGCAACCAAATTTTTATTTTTTCCAATTAAATTTTTTTGATAAAATCCCTGGAGTTGTCAGATAATGGAATTTCAATTTATTATGATTTCAAAATCTGTTAATTTTGAGTGATGTTGTGTTAATTGTGTTATGGTTGTTGTAATATTCGTTAGATTAATCATTGGTTCACAGGGATTAAAAAACATGATTAGATAAACACCAGCGATAAACACCTGGTTCGAAACATCAACGATAAACACCTGGTTCGAAACACCAATGATAAACACCTGGTTCTAATGGCTGCAAGGATCAACATTCAATAAAAATTGTCCAACATCTAATGTGTTAAAAGTCCGCTTCGACCAAAGATGATATATATCGCAGACAAGTTGTCTTTTTTGGGGGGTTATCTGAGCGCATGTGTAGGGGTCATTCCTGTCAGAGGAAAAGGTTGAGAAGTCGTCCCTATCTCTAAGCCACGTATGCTCACACTAAGGATCGCAACCACGACTGCACGTCAGAGGTGACCGGCCAGCTAGTGCTCGTAATGTGGCACTCTAGGCTACTTGGGTGAGTTTGGGTGTGTATTGAGAAATTTAGGTGTGTATTGTGTATTGAGAAATTTAGGTGTGTATTGAGAAATTTAGGTGTGTATTGAGAAATTTAGGTGTATTTGGGTGTATATAGAAACATTTGGGTGCATATAGAGACATTTGGGTGTATTTGGGTGTGTATTGAGAAATTTGGATGTATTTGTGTGTATTTGTGTGTATTTGGGTGTGTATTGAGAAATTTGGATGTATTTGGATGTATTTGTGTGTATCTGTGTGTATTTGGGTGTATTTGTGTGTATTTGTGTGTATTTGGGTGTATTTGTGTGTAGTTGGGTATACAGGAGAAAAGACTAACCTGTAGAAACGATGAGGGATTACTCTCTTTTAAAACTTCAATACAGAACTGTAACAACCCAGTCGTTCTCTGTAGTAGTCCTGTACAATCAGACACTTGTTCTTTCATAGTCATTGTCTTCATGTCTTTTTCTTCTTTCACGCTAGCGAGTAGTTCTATCTTCCGTAGTTTGATTCGTTCAATTAACGCATCACACTGAGCAATTACTGTTGCTTCAAATTCTGAACAGTTGCCCTGCAAAAATACAAAAAAAACATAATTTGATTAAAAATATGTTAACAGAAAAATCAATCGATGAATTCTTGTAATGTTTTGTGAAGACCTGAGGTATATGACTCGAATAATATAAAAAGAATATAATTCAATCAAAAATTTGTTAAAAGAAAATTTGCTCGTTATGCAACGACATGAAATGATGTTACGGTAATGTTTGGTGAAGTCTAGAGGTACATGACATTAAAAGAATATAATTTTATTAAAAAAATCGACTTATAAGCAACGAAATGAATCCATGCAACACTTGATGAAGTTCTGAAGTATATTAGTATCCAATAAATTCAGTCAATTCTTATATCTACAGTATAAGTCGTATTTGAAACATTTATATATTTAAGAATCATTGAGGTAGGCCTACATGGCCCAATATAGTCAAAATCAAAAGGCCTTTTAAGTACTTGAAACATCTGCCTATATTTGAATTAATATTTTATTTCTATAAAATATTCCAGGTTATGTCATATGTAACTACTGTACGTATGGACAGTGTCAGGAATGGTTACCACGGTGATGACATCATGCTGCTTAAAAAGTATGTATAGGTCAATTTATGACATACATATGTATGGATTGTTCCATTTTCCAGGTGAAGAAATACTCAGGAAAATAACCCAAGATGCCATCAATGTAACCCAAGATACAGGAATATAACCCAAGATACCAGGAATATAACCCAAGATACCAAGATACCAGGAATATAACCCAAGATACCAGGAATATAACCCAAGATACCTGGAATATAACCCAAGATACCAGGAATATAACCCAAGATACCTGGAATATAACCCAAGATACCAGGAATATAACCCAAGATACCAGGAATAACTCATAATCAAAATTATTATATTATTAGCACAATAATACATATATAATTTATCTCTCAGAATTCACTTTTACCTTTCCGAAATTCTTTTTACACTAGAGGTACCGAGGAATAAAACCCAATATGCAAGAAAAACTAAAAATCAATTCTTATCTTTTTATATCTCAAAATTAACTTTTTATTTCCGAAATTCTTTTGTACAATATGAATGCTTTTAAAACCAGCCTGTTAATCAATTCTAATTAACAACAACTAAAAAAAATCTGCAATCTGGAATTATTGATAAAATTGTCACATTAGTAACTTTTTACCGTGACATAATACCATGTGATAACAAGAAATTCGTTAATTACGATAATTATATCTGTTCTCGGAGTCCGATTAACGATTTAATTTATGGTGTAAAATGTTTCCAGGCCTCTTGAAACAAAAAGTTAATTTTAGTACCACGTTAGATAATCAATCGTTCCTTGTTCTCTAGGATTGAAGGAAGAGAAAGGGGAGTCAAGAGGGAAGGGACAGATAATTATCACTGACGTCTATTTGTCTGGAGTGCAACACTTTAGTGTTTGAAGTACTATAACTGTCAGCCATTGTCTGAAGAACCGATGTAGCCTACGCAATTCAACACAGACAAATATAGCTAGAATTGAACTTTAACCATGCTCATGTCACTTTAAATCGCAAGTCTTTCAGAGCAGTTCGAAATGTTTTAAAACAAGCCAACAATGAGGCTGATGTCCCCTGCCTCAATCCCAAAATAAATAGATGACACCTATTTATCATTTTGTAAAGCATCGGGCAATCGAATTGTTTATCTCTGCTTAAAGATACATTAGTTAAGAGTTTGATAAAGAGTTGGTCATTCTTGCTATAATAAATAAAAAATAGACGATGAAAAAAGAAAATATTGAAAATTTCATTCAAATTACTTCATTCTCAGCCAAGTTATCATTGTTTGTAGTTTTGACAAGATGTGTGCGCAGTGGTAACCAGGGCACTGGTATAATTGGGACTTAGCCTCGCTTTCCCATTTTTAAATTAAATTTTTAAATGGCGAACCGTTTCAATCTAGTTAAAATCTCGAGTATCCGATGCCATCGAGAGTCGATTATGGTCTTGTTTTGTTAATAAATGTCTAATTAATAGTTTTGATAACATTTCAGGCCTAAAGAAAGACCTGCAATAGGCAGATTTAGCTCTTGCATAATGCTTGTTCAACCTGAGATGAAAATGTTTATTATCGAATTCAGTCAAGATATTGATATAATGAAATTACACACTCAAGACTCAGAGTTGTCATGTCCTAAAACACGGACAAATTAAACTGCTTATCTCTGCTTAACATAAGCAGAAAATTTTCATCATCACCCTCAGTCAAGATATTCACCTAATAAACACCTATACCAAGTTCGGACATAGCGAGAGTGAAAGAAAGAGAAATGGGGTTTAACAACCACTCGACACATACGGTACTAGGTCATTATGATACTAACATATGGTTCAATGTTTTTCAATATTTCTTGGGCGTGTACGTATGGGTTTTTAGCTGTGGTAGGAAACCGGAGGACTTAGAGAAAATTTTATTTCTAACAAACCATATGTATCATCGAGAAAATTTTATTTCTAACAAACCATATGTATCATCAATTTGCATATGTGCAAGCTGTGTCATCACCTACATGAAGACATCTTGGACCATTATGTCAACTTTCCTGTCAAAAAGGCTTCTTTTTCTGTCAGAATTGTTTTGAAATGATAATCCTCAGATATTATATTTTATTTTATGTTCTTTGTTTCAGCGTTATTTGAAATGATATATTTAATATTTGAGAACTGTAAACAGTATAAATTGGACTAATTGAAATATCATGTTAAAAAATTAAAGCTACCATATGCATTGATTGATTTAATATGTATTTTTTTAATTAGGAGTCTAGACAACTTAAATTACTCAATTACTACCACTGATTCAATCAACTGCCATTTTGTATTGTGAGGAATCTATGTGACAATAAAAGTGTTCTATGACTTTAATGTGACAAGGTGCACCATGACTTCCATCAAGTTTAGACTATATTTTATCATATAATTTCTTAGGTGCACTGAACTCCCCCATGTTATTGATATATTTACGTTATAAGCACGTATTTGTTGTGTTTAATTACAGACTTAATGAATCCCACATGTTATTGACAATGCGATTTTGTAAATGGCTGATTCAAGACAATACCATGTGGTATATAAAACTCCGTATATAATGACGAGATCCATTTCCTTATGTTTGTATCAATTTTACCTACTGTTTAATTGAAGGTACATTTAAGACCTAGTGTTTTCTGTTATAAGAGAGACTGAGTCTTAGAGCTAAGACGAGCTTATCGACTCACCCGAGTTCAGTTGCTGCTTTGGCAGATGGGCGGAATGGTTGCCTTAAAGCTCACCAGAAAAGCTTCATAAATATTTTAAATAAAGCAAATAATTATTTCACCATATCCTTTCCATATGTATAAAACAATCCCGAATGTCAATGTTCCCTGCCACAGGTAAATTTAAACATTAGGGATTTTCGCCGTTCTAAAAAAGTGACGGCAGTGTTTTCACCAACTCTTTATCAAGATCCAACTGCCGAGGGATCCTTTACGTTCACAGAACCTTGGGTTTTCATCCCATTTGAAGACCTAGACACTGTATCATGCCAGGTCCTCTGTCCCACACCACTAACAAGGGGGAAACCCATTCTGTCCTACACCACTAACAAGGGAAAACCCATTCTGTCCTACACCACTAACAAGGGGGAAACCCATTCTGTCCTACACCACTAACAAGGGGAAACCCATTCTGTCCTACACCACTAACAAGGGAAAACCCATTCTGTCCTACACCACTAACAAGGGGGAAACCCATTCTGTCCTACACCACTAACAAGGGGAAACCCATTCTGTCCTACACCACTAACAAGGGGGAAACCCATTCTGTCCTACACCACTAACAAGGGGGAAACCCATTCTGTCCTGCACCACTAACAAGGGGAAAACCCATTCTGTCCTGCACCACTAACAAGGGGAAAACCCATTCTGTCCTGCACCACTAACAAGGGGGAAACCCATTCTGTCCTGCACCACTAACAAGGGGAAAACCCATTCTGTCCTGCACCACTAACACGGAAAAACCCATTCTGTCCTGCACCACTGTTTTGTAATGTGGCTCTATTCCGTTTCACATGTTTTATACACACAAAGACTAAATAAACCAATTCAATTCCATTTAAAAAAAAGCAGAATAAATAGTTCTCAAAATTCTCAAGTATTTGAAACTAAAATCGTCGATTTAGGACTTAAAATGTCGATCAATTAGATTAGTGTCTGTTCTCACACGGAGCTAATTGTGGATAAACAGCATAAGTTTAGTATGTGGAACCCATGCTGAGAAATCCCACCTCAATCGCTAAGCCACAGCGGCTCCTCGTAACCCCAAGACAATTAATGCGTGGAATAGCACCAGATGTAATTACAAATTTAGAAAAAATATCAATTTCATTATCATGTCTAATGTACATTTATTAGGAAATGCACTTATTTCATTAAAAATAAAAATGTCCAGGATAAAACGCTTCTCTTACAGCGCTATAACAATTCAAACAAAAGAAAAACAATATTAATTTTAGTACTGGTATGATGTATTATTATTTTGGGAACTCAACCGAATCAGAAATAACTCAAGTGGAAACATTACATCATTATTATTTCCTGTTTCACATACAACAGTATTGATGACATCAAACGTACGCGCATTTCTTAATACAATTGATGCTGGGGTTGATTAAACGAACAGAATCATTGATACCACAATGAAACAGTTGGTCACATTGTTGAACGAAACGGATCCGATTTCAATGAATATAAAAAGTTGTCGGGTGAATATAGCGGCAATAACCTCTAAACAAACAGTAGAATTATTTCTACACTGGTTAACCTATTTTTACCAGAAAATAAATTATTTCTAAAACAATGGTTTCAAAGTTTAAGCAAATAATCAAAAGGGTTTTTATGAAAATGGTATGATTAAAAATTGAAATAATAAATTGATTGCAACATATGGTGGCGTCTAATCTAGCAAGGACATGGATGATACG